ACACGGTTTTAAAATCAGCACATTTTCTGTCATTACAAATCCTGAATCTGTGACTGCTTGAGACGTCCACACGAACCTTCATTCTTAATGTCTCTGCAGTGCAGGCGTGTATGTGTACAGTTGGGTCCAGAATTTGTTGGATAAAGAAAATTTTTTGCAGTTTTGCTTCTGTGCACCAAAATATTTAATATAATATTTAATTTTAAATGCAATGATAGCTGAAGTCCTGATTTTCAGCTGGGCTGAAGGGCTTTAATAAAACATTTGCATTAATTGTTTAGGAGTTGGAGTGCCCAATTTTAAGAGCCTCCATATTAACTGGACAACACAAAACTCGTAATGTAAGTTGTCAGGTTTTTAATGCTTGGAGTTAGTGAATATCTGCCTGAAGTCGAGTACAAATAGGCTTCACCAAATGCTGTTTCCTCCATTCCTCCAGACACTGTTAGTACTTGTTTGTTGGACTCTGACTTCTGTTTAGTCCTCAGTAACTGAAACGGATGCACTGTTGGGTTGAGGTCAAGTAACTGACTTGGCCATTGCTTTTGTAGTTTCCTTTTGGGTCATTATCTGTTTGCACTGCCCAATTAGTTTTGCAGCAGTCTTTACAGTGAGTACACTTTATAATTCATCCTGGTGCTTCTATCAGCAGTCACATCATCAGTAAACACCAGTGACCCAGTATCACTGGCAACCATAGATGCCATGATGGTGCCTCCACCATTTGGGACAGATCGTGTGGTACACGTTAAACTTGGTTTCATCTTCAGTTGTCTTCTGTGGTCTTGCAGCGGTTTTTTTAGTGTTGCTGAACTGACCCAGTGCATTTCTTCTTTTAAAGAACCAAATTGCTGATTTTACGTCTCCTGATAGATTTGTTTTGTTCTTTCAGTCTAATGATGGCCTCCTTCACTTCCACTGACATGTCTGTGGCCCTCGTGTTTAAAACGACAGTGAAAATCTGTTAAATGCAAATTTAAATAATGCAGATTATGCAAATTCAACACTTAGAATCGGTTTCAGATATCACATCTGCATCGTTTGTTGTGAAATAAGAGAACAGGCCTCACCCACCCATGAAACTGCTCATCAGCCAATTTCCCCATTACTTTTTAACCTCTGTAAATGGGGAATTTGTATACAAAGGGCTGTAATTCTTAAACTTTATATTGATTTATTGATTATTATATTGATTTTTTTTTAAAATTTAAAATATACTGTGGTGGCAAAAAAATTGTCTGTTCAACAAAGTATGGCCCTAACTGAATACAGCGTGTATATTTTATTTTTGAACTGGAAAAATCAAACCAGTCTGAGAACCAGATCTGAGCACACACGTTTTGTTTTCTCTGGCCCCCACACAGAGCCAGGTAAGTCTCCACATGTGCTTCACATTTGCAAGTAATACCCCCATACTTCACTAAAAACCTTACACCTTAAACTAATGAATTCAAAAAAATCTTATATACACACGCTTCTCATCTGTGAAATTTGAAAACATTTAAAAGCACAGTAACACCTGAAACCAGATGCAGTACTTTTTTCTCAGTCCACTAGGGTGCAGACATGCGCTGTCAGCTGTGTCCATAAAATCCGCCACTGTCCTCTCAAAAATTACACGGCAACTTGTGACAGAAGTCAAGAAAAACAATACAGGTGCTATGCTGGATTGCTGCCTTGCCCCTGATTTTTTTCTGTGCAACTTGGTACAATGCACGATTTAAAAAAAAAAAAAAAAACACTTTTCGTTGCAAGCGCCATATAAAAAAACGTCAAAAATGATTTTGTAATTGAAACGGGACTCATTTCATGAAACATTACGATGTTTTATAGATTTGCCACATAAAATCGTTACTATTTTTAGGTGCTTACAAGCGCGTCAAAAAATGTCTTTGTCTTTAATTATTAAAGGCTTTTATTTCTTAAGTAAGCGGAAGTACCTCTTGCGCTTGCGCACTAGGCTGCCGAGAAACTGGGAAGTGCTTCCAATCTTTTAAAGTGGCACGTCCTGCTTAAGGAGCACAAAATTCAGCCAAAATGATCGGTAAAGTAATCGGTCAGAAATATGTGGCCATTGCCAAGTCATGGTAAGAAGTTTTTACGTCGCGCCTGTGAGAAAAAGCGGAAAGAAATCGGACCTGTGCTTATTAAAAGAACCTCGATGTGTCCTTAGCTAGCATTAGCCGTTAGCCCAACTGAGGTCATAGTCGTAGGGACATGCTGACTTTAGACTGTCTGTTGAAGATGTTATGAATTTTATGTATTAAAGCGAGTGTGAGCTATCTTTTCATTATTAACTCTGCCTGTTCACAGAGGAGATTGGGAATCGCTTTTTTAAATACATCGAGCTAACAAATTAAACCATGTGATCTCGGGCGAAGGTTTTTAATGTTCTTAATAAATCTGCTGCAAAGGCTGCATTAAACTTTATCCCAACTGGATTAAGGTACAGGATCCCCTCTCCTAAACAGATAAAAGTAAAATGCTCTGGCATATTTTACCAAACAGAAGCAGGTGCAACAGATTTATTTGGGGGGGGGGTTAGTTACTTACATCATTTTCCAGCATGTTTATAGCTTCAGCAGATAAAAAGGCATCAACCCTTTTGTCTTCTTCTAATAACCGAAACCACTGAAATGAATATTTGGTTTTACCCAATAAAAATGTATTTCTCTCTTCAGTTTCATCAATCGATGCTGAAATTAATAGAAAGACAACGGACAAATTTTCACTGTCTTCTCTCCACAGGCTCCCAACTATGGCAGTATGGGGAACAACTGGAGGTGTAGCCCTAGTGTACGTCACAGACTGGCGTTTGGTTTTGGATTATGTCCCCTATATCAACGGCAAATTCAAGAACGATGACTAACATGTGTCAGGTTAGTCCAAAGAATGGCAGCGTGAAACAGTCATTCGGGAGATTATCATGCACCGTTGAATAATAAATAATCATTTAACAAGCAGGAACCACATCCCAAGTTGGACTGACAGTGCTTAACAGAATGACAGGTGGCGTAAAGGTAGATCTAGGCTTGAGACTTCAGTGAGGACCAGGCATCCCCAGAGTCAGTGATGATAGTTCCAAAGACTTTACAAATTGTAGTGAATATATAATTGGTTTGTTAGCGATGACCAGCAGCCCATAAACCAACGGGGAGTCCTTTATGTGAAGTTGATATAGCTGCATGAAAATGAGAACGAACAGCTTATCCAGTCTACAGAGGGATGTATGTGACTTTAAAGAAAACAAGTCACAGTACCACAGTCACGGGTTTGTTGGGGCCAAAAGTCGAGTCTTTCAGCATAATTTTGAGTCAAGTGAAACACAGACTCATTTCTTCCAATGCATACAGACCAATCATGAGTACTCACTCCCCAAAATCAAATTGTGAGCCAAGAAAAACCTACAATATTACTTGTTTGTTGGGCATAGATATGTTTTTCCTGTTTACTGACCCAGCACACAGGCTGTCTATATAATGGTAACAGTCATGCCTCAATCCAGAGGTAAAAGCATCACTGGGTGGAGTATTAGCCCCCCCGTTTCCCAAATAGATTCTTTATTAAGTATTGCCTGAACCGCATGACTCAACCGAACAGAATGGGACACTACATTAATATCAAAAACAAACAAGCAGACATACTGTGATTTCCGAAACAAATGTCCGGAGTCAGAGCTGAGATTGAAAAGTCTTCAACTGATGGGAAGGAAACAATGAAGCGGTTTGTCATGATGAGCTCTGTAAGTGCTTGTCGTAATAATGTGAAGATTGAAAATGTGATTACTAAATGTGAGATGTCATCTGACACGAAGCTGCCAGGCGATCTTTTGGTTTCATTTATTTCTCAGTTACAAAGCAGACATTCAGAAAGGCAATGAACAAATTCAGGAGCTCATTATGCTCAGTCACTGGAAAACCCTAGTCATAAAAAGACTTTCTGGTCTGATCAAATTAAAGGGCTTTGGCATGAATTGTATTTACTACAGCTCTGGAAAAACAGGGGCACATTTCATCAGCTTGCTAAAAGAAAGTATTGACAATTGTGGCGACATACTCATTGATATATTTTATTTTTCTTTCCAGTTTGTTTTTGTATGTGATTTTTGTTTTTGTCATATTGTATCTTGTTGTCCTTAAAGGTTTGGTTGCTTTAACATAGTAATCTGCAGGTGTTTGGGATAAATAAATTAATAACTTAAATGAAACTGGACAGTTCAGAGAGGACACAAGACCAGAATTAAGGAAAGTGGCCTGTTTGAGACTGTATTTGGCAGCTTCTAATGAAAAGACTGTGACCACTGGAAATTTAAAACTCATAGGCATTAACTTTGAATTGGTTCATTCAGTTGATGTTGATTCAATTTTGAATGATGGTTTCAAACACGAAAAAAATTACAGTTAATAAACGAAAATGCTTTAATATTCCATTAAGTTTTTCTTTTCCGCTTGCCCTCAGCATCCAGCTTTGATAATTTCTTGAACACATTATAACACATGTACCTTCCTCCTCCTCAGGTCAGCGCTGATTTTTCTTTTTACACAAGGACCTACAGAGAGACCACACACTGCTGCAGCCAGGACCTTCCACTGCATGGCAGGCCACCAGAGACCATCATTCTCACCCTCCAGCTCATTCAGCATTGAACTGTTGACTACCAACGTCCAATGAAATGATCCTTGGGTTTGGCATTTCAGCGTTCTTCTGCCAGTAAAAATATGAACAGACGAAGAGGAAAACAGTAACGATTTAAACGTGCATTTGGTTTCTTTCCCTGTTCAGATTAAGGACGTGTATTTATTGTAATCATCTGTGGTCTGTGGGTCAAATTTGATTCTTGATTTTTGTGAGAAGTAAAGTGTCTGTGATTTCTCCTATATTATGGCTGTTTATGGATTTATTTACTTTTGCTTGTGTTCCTGCTGAAGGTAAATGTGCATGAAGCAAATTTAAAAACAGCCGCTCTTACTCATCCTCATAACTGGTCACAATGAAAAGTACTGACAGTTTCACTCTTTTGTTAAAAAGCTATAAAATATCAAGGCACTTAATATTTTTATTAACAGCTGGGTAATTTTTAGAAACCTTTTTTTTTTTTTTAACTTTTTCCATCTCCTTTTACAAAACGTGGTGTAGTAGAAAATACTGGTCCTACACATTAATACATTTTCAATTCTATACAAAGTGAATAGAAAATGTATTAATGTGTAGGTAACAGTTTAACAATTAAACAAAATAAATAAAGCCCGTTAAACTTGGATTTTAATCTAGCTGGCCTACCTGTTACAGCATCAAACTAGTGCAATTGCATTATTGTATTGTCATTAGACTTTAAATACAGACAGTTTATCCAGAAATATCCAGTTCACAATAACTAAAAACAAATATCATTTTACAATTAAGTAACATATTTTCCCATAAATGCAGTTTTGAGTACAATTCAGAACACAATGAAAACGTTACAGTGTCAAAACTCTGTCATAGTTACTTTCCGCCTATGACACAGCCCACGTGAGACCTGCGCGAGCTTTACTTTCGGACTACTTTACAGCGTGTGACGCATAAGTTACTAATACGGCGGAGTGATCTGTACTCGAGATCTGCAAGATCTCGAGCTGAGACGGACAGCTAGCAGACAAAATTCATGCCTGTGGTAATATTAATAAGGTAGTGAAGTTTTTGTCGTTTATTAGCAAAAATTAGGGGCAGAAATATTGAGACAGCCGGGACCATGGAAAGAAAAAGGTAGGACTTTGTCATGTTTGACCGAGTGAGTTATTGTAATAACGAGGAAATGCACGCACGCCTGCATACATCCGTGGGGCACTTTAGAAACGCTCATCAGTAAATGAATCGATCTGGGGAGGTTTAATTAATTTATTTGCAGCATTACTTTTGTAGCTAAAAGTTGACTTTAAAGCGGGTGGAGTTCGTTTGGTTTAAAATACTGCAGCTTCAAGCAACAATTGACACGCTATTTGCTACGACTTTGACGTCCCGGTGCTGCTAGCTTGATTAGCTAGCTAAGTTTCATTGTTTACACACGCTTGACTTGCAGTGCGCAGGCCCGTCACAGCTACAGCAGCACGAGCGCTCCAAACTTCACGTGGGGCTCACCATGAGTACGCTTCAGACACGCTTCAGTTAGAGACGGTCAAACAAAAACAACCACGTGGATATTATCAGCTACTGCTGGTCAGACCGCTTTTAACCACAGGGTGGGCTACAGAGGTGCCTGAATGACGTCTCTCGACTTGTTGTCAGCACACCTGTTGGGGTCCCGTGCTCGACAAGTTATTTTATAATATTTCTTTGAAAATATCGTTTTATGTCATTGTGTATTTGGAGTTATAGGCTATATGAGTCTACGTTATTGTGCCTACTCAGTGTTTACTTAATTTATATTTCAGAGCAGTTTTGTTAGATGTGTTGCAATTTCTGATTCCCTTTTGGCCAGGCCTCTTGAGAAGGTTGTACAAAACCCTTAAGTACTTTCTGGATCAAAATGGCTCGATGTCATTCATGAGAGATTTCATGAGGAATTTAGAACAGTTTAAATATCAGTAGTCAATTTTTGACAGATGGTCACTAATATCTGACAAATCGTTTCACTTTCTTTTAGTGTAAAGGAGTGTAAATGCACATTTAACAAATCATTCATTTGTACTCCGGTCATGATTACACAGTTGTCTTCAGAAAAATAAGTGCAAGTTTAATAGTGCCAATGTAGTAAGTCAAATGAAGCTAAATGCACAGCTGCGTTTATGCCCTCCTTCACAATTTTCATGCTAACACAAGAACAAAACACATCTACTGGGGTGGCCCCAGATACCATTTCGAAGCGTGGCTCTGTCAAAAAGCTTATTCAAAAAAGTAACTGAGAGTGTCTGTGGAGTACTAAACGCTTGGACATCCCAGTTAAAAATAGTGGAATGAACCCAATGACCCACCTGAGTTAAATGCAATTTTTTGTTCTAACTTTGTTTCTACACAGTGTTCAAATGTGATTATAAAAACAGCTGTGTTGATGCAGAAGAACTGTGTATTCAGACTTTTTTTCCTTTGATCAGGAATCAGTTAGTAATGGGCAAGCGCCTGTTTTTATTCTTGTATATAATGAAGTCTTTATTGTATTATGGATACAGTAGAATTCATTGAGTGTTTTTTATCTGACTTATTAATTTTATTTCCTATTTAATTGAGCTGCTTCTGTGGATTATTTTTTATTTATTTATTTTTTACACAGACTTTAATTTTGACATGTTTTATTTATCTAACTATTTTACTTTATTTAAGCTGTTTTGTTATATGTTGGGTTTAATGTTTGGGCTGCTCTCACACAGGACTTTCTGAGCTTGTGGGATAAATATTAAAGTACTTGTTGTTTTATCTTAAAGAATTGTACCTGCTATAAGCAGAACTGATGTATCTGAAATACTGTTGATCCCTGGTGGATGCTTGTTTTGATGGTTTTTCTGTTTTTCTTTCTAGTCTACCTGTTAAGCGTATTCTCAACAAGCCGCAGATATTCCGCGGCAGCCCTCACACTGATGTGAATGCTGGCCACTCCCGGGGCGAACAGTCACTCCTGATCAAGGGGCAGCGCAGCAGGCACAACCATCTCTATGACATCAGCCATCAAATAAGGGTAAGACAGTTTGGTCTCTGGTGTTTATGAGGCTTAAAAATGTATACCCGTAAGTTTAAGTTGTGCTTCTTCATATTTAGTTTAACTGAATACATCTGTCCAAAAAACAGAACAACAACTAAACCCTTTGATTCTATTTGCATATGCCATATAAAAATGTCATTTTTTGGAAGAAAAAGTTTTCTTAAATGCAAAAATATATAAATAATCTCAAGTACAGTCAAATAAAATAAGATGCGTATGCAGCACATCAGTTTCATGCTGTTGGAATCATGTTAAACTGCATTGTCCCTTTTTAAATAAATAAATAAGAAAAAAATATATTAAGCTAAACTAAATAAAAATTTACTATTACTCTGTCTTCCTTGAAGGCTTTCTGACGTTAATAGGAGGCTGTAAGGCATCAGCAAGTTGTATAGTTTAACCAGTTTGGTATCAGTTCAGCTGCATATTTTAATAAAACTTCTGGAGGCTTACTGCAGATTTTTTGCTGTATATAATAACGGTGGAGGATGGAGCAGCTACAAACTTCGCTTTTCTTCACATCAAGTTTGTTGATCAGGTTCTTTGATGAAGGACTCCCGCTAGCTTTTTCCCACTAAAGGTTTAATGGTGATTACAGGAACAGCACTCCTCTTTTGAACGCTGGAAACATGTTTTCTTTCAGTCAACCTGAGCTCACCGTCTCCGTAACAGCTTGGCTTCTTCGCTCTCCACGTTGTTTAAACAGACTCCGGCTCCTCGTTAAAGTGTGCCAGCATCATCATCACTGCTGCTGTTGTTTTATCAGTGCTTACGTTTAAAAACTGGGGTCGGTGTCTAATGTTTTTTATTCAAACTTTTTATTCATACGCTGCTGCTGAGTACGTTTCTATTGCAGGACTGTTTAGTCGCAAATGTGGGTGAAACGCTCATGTTTCCATAGTGACATAGTGATGCCATTAAAAGAAGTATCGAAGTAACAAATTTGTGTTGAGAATTTTTTATAATCAAACCTAGAATTTTTATTCTCTGTGGCTAAAATAAGAGTAATTTCAGTCCTGAATTATTAGCTCCAAGTCTGATTTTTGCCACTTCATTTGAATGTTTGTCATAAACATCATAACCAAAAGCACAGCTCATCAGGCTGTACACTGATCACACTGTCTGCCTGAGGCCTTTTAGCAGACTGTGGTTAAAATTTCATGACCGTCACAGGAACCTGTCTGTCATGAAGCCATCACAGATGAATTGCAGTAAAAACAGACATGAGTCTGACGTGCTCACTTGTTCGCTTTAACCTACGTAAGGAAGTTTTTCTCTCGTGAATTCCTAACCTGAAATATCCAATTTGCGCATGATTTTTGTAGCTATTTACTGCGTTTTTGTTTTCATGCCACATTGTGTCATAGTAGTCATTCCATTGCCTTGTAATGTTTTTATAGCCTCTTCACAATTAAATACGGGATGCAGCAGCCACTGCTATACAAGACTGACAGCAGTAAAAATAAAGCAGTAGGATAACTGTTGGTTTTAAAAGTGGCTCTTTTTAAATGTCATTAAAAAAAAAATCTGTTCATATAGTAGAAAACTAACTTACGGTTCTCCCTTAAAGGCTAAGCCTGATTTAAACACAACGCTGCCAGTTCGACAGACAGCTTCCATCTTCAAACAGCCAGTGACCAAAGTAACAAATCACCCCAACAACAAGGTGAAGACGGACCCCCAGAAGGCTGTGGAACAACCAAAACAAGTAAGTCAGAAGCAGAAAAGGTGTGTCAAGTGTTTGTTTGTTTTCTAATGGTAATTTAAGTGTGTGTGTGTGTGTGTGTGTGTGTGAGAGTGAGTGAGTGAGTGACTGAGATGTTCAGTTTTGGAAACACTGTGCCTAAAATACACAAAAGGTATCTTCCTTTTTGCTTCACTCTTTAGCTGTTCTGGGAGAGGAAGTTGAGCGGGTTAAATGCATTCGATATAGCAGAAGAGCTGGTCAAAACGATGGATCTCCCCAAAGGCTTGCAGGGTGAGGTTAACCTTTAAAACTTATCCGTCACATATAATTCAAACAGAAATAATTCTACCAGGTTGACCCATACCACCTGATTTTCTCTCCTTAGGGGTGGGGCCTGCATGTTCAGACAAAACGCTGCTCTCTGCGATCGCCAGCGCCCTGCACACCAGCCCGGCGCCCATCACGGGACAGCTCACTGCTGCGGTGGAGAAAAATCCAGGAGTCTGGCTCAACACTGCGCAGCCTCTCTGCAAAGCCTTTGTAGTGACTGATGATGATATTAGGTGAGATACTTTCATATTTAACACAAAGGAGCTCTGGTTTTCTAACTGTAATACTGAGTGATATTATTCATGCATAGGAAACTGATGAAGGCTTGAGTCTGCTGCTGGTGGCTTCTTCTGTGAAGGGTGTCAAATGTAAATCAAGTGCACTCTAAAAGTGCATTTCAACATGTTCCACCACTACCAAGCAGTGAGGTGGTGTTTCTTTTTTCTTGTTGGGCACATGCTGCTGTTTTCAACAATCAATGGCTTGACTGTCAGTGACTGTTTTCTGTTCTCATGTAGCGTACGCCACCACAGTGACAGGTTCTCACAAAACTCTACATGATGAGCTTCAGTTTTGGAATCATTTGGATTTTTCTTTTAAAGGAAAAACTCCTAATGCTAAGGCTCCGGTTGCCCAGGTAACCCTCTAACGTTGGGGTTGCTGAGGCACTCTGTTTAGGGTAAAATCATGTAATCAATTTATTCTTGGAGCGGTCTAGAAACCAAAACTGACCACCATGTATTGACAAATGCACAGTACTCTTCACACTCATAGGTTGTTGCATCCATCACTCACCTCAAAATTTAGAGAAGTTTATCCTGCAACCCGCCCAGTTTGCGTCACTACAGGGGGTTTCTTTTGTTTGTCATCTTTTTTGACTACTGCTTGTAATTGTTTGCTGAATGTCCCAGACTTTCTGTGGTCGTTACAAATCACTTCCTGTGTGGAGATGGCTTTAAGGTGTATATTGTCAAAAGGCAAAGGCTTGTGACCAGTTTAAAGTAAGAAATAAAATGAAAAAGGACCTTAAAGCCTCAGACAGCATTATCATTATTATTATTTAATCAGGAAGTGAAACTTCAGATTAAGAATCTCTTGTTTCTGTGAAGAACGCATCATTAACCTGGGGAGCTGAGCTCTTGGAGGGAAAAACTCCATACAAGGGGCCCTTGCTGGGTTCACACACTGGACTCCAATAGTAAAACCATTAAATAGGCTTTAAAATTGCATAGTAATGTCACTGAGGACATCAATATCTTGTCTGAAAAAGCTTTGTCAGAGCTGTCAACGGACAAATGCAACTGGTCTTGGTATTCACATTTAGTATAAGCTGGTAGCCGGTCACTTGACCTGTGAGCGCAGACGTTTTCTATTCCAGTGACACAAGAATACAGCTTTAAATTCAGGCTCAACATATAGTGAATCAGCACTTTGTACCTATTTACTGAAGCTCCAGCTAGCATGCTATAGCTGATGATAAAAAACTTGTGCACTGCCAAAACCAGCGCACTTTATTTTTATTGCAGGAAAGTAGATGTTTGACTCTCGGAGCGTTCTGAACCAAGGACATTTCATACTGAGAAACAAGTGTTACACACTGAAAACTTGGGACAGTTGTATCACAAGTCACCATTATTATTTTGCTATTTGACCTTCAGTTCAGGCACATTATTATATAAATGTTAGAAAAACAAACTAAATTCACTGTGTTCAAAAGTTCAATCTTGAGATTTACTTTGTGTTCTGCTTCTCTTTTATGGCTTTGTAATGAGTCATACTTTGCATTTATACTCTTATACCAAATTGAACTATGGTGTCTTTTCATGGGTCACTGGTGAGAACAGCAAATCAGCCTCAGTCCATTTAGCGAAAAGCAAGATAAAATGCAGATATGTGGTTTTTCTTTTTTCTTTTTTTTTGGAAACGTGACCACTAACCATGTGACGTTAACTTATCTATCATTTTGGAAGTGTGACAATCATGGTCACAATGTATGATCAAGTGACTAAGGACCCAGTCACACAGGCCTTGAGACCAGTCTGTGACCACCTGGCAACCACTTGTCACTAGGAGAAATGTGTGTTACTCAGCCAGCAGGCAGAAAGCTCCCTGTCCTTGGTTTGGTCTCTGGTACTTGCTGCCGTAGTAGTTATAATGGAAGTGATGGACAAATGCAGGTCAGCTTTATGTTAGACAGCTCTCGAGTGATGTGTGTATGACCTCAGGTGAGAAACAACAATAGAGAACAGGGCTATTTCTTTGTATATTCAAGGTTCAAGGTTCTTTATTTGTCACATGCATAGTTATACAAGTATAACACACAGTGAAATGTAGCCTGACACGCTCCTCGACATGTGCAAAAATTGGGGGGGGGGGGGTAGAGGAAGAACATTATATATATATATATATACACACATATAGTATATATACACTTGGGTGAATGTGCAGTAGTAGCAGCAAGCAGGTGAATTCTGTACATTAATATGAATAGACATCTGACTATTTTACAGGATAGACAATATAAACATATTTAAAATTAAAGGAATTGAAATGTACATTGTGCCTTGGTTTAGATGTCTGGAAGAGGTCCTGTCTCAGTCAATTATAGATGATGTGAGAGGGCGGGTGTGTGTGTTTAGGGCACGGATGGCTTGGGGATAGAAGCTCCTCTTGAGTCTCTCTGTCCTTGCCCGGAAGATGCGGAACCTTCTACCAGATTGCAGAAGTTGGAACAGTTTGTTGCCAGGATGGGACGGGTCCTTCAGTATCTGCGCTGCTCTAGTCCGGCATCTCCTGGTGTAGGTGTCCTGAAGCGGGGGGAGAGCAATCCTGCAGCAGCGTTCTGCTGTACGGATCACTCTCTGGAGAGCTTTTTGGTCCTTCACACAGCTGTTCCCAAACCACGATGTCATGTTCTGTGTGAGGATGCTCTCCACAGCGCCTGTATAGAAAATCCTGAGGATCTTTGGAGAGACCCTGAACTTCCTCAGTTGTCGTAGGTGATACAGGCGCTGCCTAGCCTTTTTGGTCTGGACCTGAATGTGGGCAGCCCATGTCAGGTCTGAGGAGATGTGGACACCAAGATACTTGAAGGACTGCACCCTCTCCACTGGAGCTCCATTGATGATAATGGGCTTGTAGTCTCTGTGTTTAATGTTTAATATTTAATGGGAACCTGTTATTCTGACTTTTATTCTTGGACTCTGCTAAAATAGATTTGCATAACTTGAGTGCATGAGTCAGCTGTTTTACCTCTTCTTCCCTGAAGGCCACCCTCACTTTATGCCACCTGTCTGCTGATTGGCTGCCCCTCAGTCGCATATGGTTTGAAGAGCACGGCTCTGAAGCTGCTGTGTTCAGACATAAATGTGTTTCTGAGATCGTATCAAAGATTTGCCCTGTTATTGAGTGTGCATGCATGCATATCTACATACGTACATACATACATACATACATACATACATACATACATACATACATACATACATACATACATACATACAATCCTCCTTCACCAGTGACGTTAATTTCCCAAAACATGTTAGCATTTTTAGTTATTGTAATGATGTGCAAAGTTTTCTAGACTGAAGTGCTCATATTAAAATTTAGAGCACACGTTTCCATGTATAAGTCATAAAAACAGACTCAATCTCCACAGAGGAGATGCACATTTCTTCTGTGTTCATGTGTTGGATGTATCATCTACAGTTATCAAGCTTCATGTCTCTGGGAATTGAATGTATTTATTTTTTTTTATTGCTTATTTTGGGTCTGAAAATGAAATGATTTTCTGGAGTGAGCAAAAATAAATAAATAAAAATCAGCCTCCCTCTAAGGTCACGTGGTGGGCTGAGGTGTAGTGTGCGGCTCTTTGGTGGACATCAAATGATTTGCACTTTTCCTTCCCTGAAACTTTTTTCAAGTCGTGAAAGACGTTATGTCATTAATGTAATTATGTGTTCTTGTCTGTGCCCCTCAGGAAGCAGGAGGACCTGGTGCAGAATGTGAGGAGGCGGCTCGAAGAAGCCCTTATGGCTGATATGCTGGCTCATATAAAAGACACCGCTGCAGACGTAGAAGCAGAGGTGAAGGGTGAGCAGGTGGAGAAGGAGGAGTTATAGCCAAGGTACACAGAAAGGCAGTAATCACTACAGTATGGCTGAATTTCTCATGGTTAATTGCATTTAATGACCTACAGTATATTCCTAAACAAGTAACTCTCCTCTATCTCTCCCACAGACTTGTTTGAGACATTTGCTGGTAAAGTCTTTTCAATGCTCGAATTAACGGCTCCATGAAGGTTTGTATGCAGTTAAACTGAAGCAGACTTTATATGCAGACATTCTGCAGATTTTTTTTCCTAACCTAAACAAAGACTGTGGTCTTTAATTTTTTTGTTTTTTAAACATATGACCTTATAATCCTGTAAGGGTGCTCTGAGTTTTCATTTTTACCTCTACTAAAGTCCGGCAGCTGGTTATGGTGCTCTACACAATGCAGTGTTATGTTTAGTTAACAGCTGTTTAAGCTCAGTGTTGAAAACGCAAACCTTTATGTACACGACTGATCTGTGTGTGTGTTACATTTTAATTGGTTTTAAGAAGTGTTTTTATTTCCTGCTATTGCTTTTTATGTTTTACTGACACTGTAAGTTAGCATGTCATGTTTGAAAGCATAGAAATGCAGCAGTATTTTTACATGCCTCTGGATGGTGATGATTACAGTTTCACGGTTCAAACTTTTTTTTTTTTTTTTGGTCACAATAATTTGAGTTTACATAGCTTTGAACATGAAGCCATGGTATTTGTATTTTCACTATTCTTTGAACAACTACTATTGCATTTCAGTAAAAGGTGCGTTCCCTCGGATCATACAAACACACTGCTGATGTACTGTTTTCTGTCAAATAAAGGCATTTTTCTTATGTGTCCTTTTGTATGTTTGTTTGTATTTAGTGTCTGTTAAAGTGATACCTACAAAAAACGAACATTAATGTCCCCACAGGACAAATTTTATTAAACCGTATCCATCCAGGTCATAGGAGAGCAGTGTAAGCAAAGACACCCACACCACCCATCCCCAGCCACCTCCTCCAGCTCTTCAGAGGGGATAGCAAGCCATCCAGGGGATACAATCCCTCTAGCATATCCTTCTCCCACCTCACCTAGGAGGCATGCTGGTCAAATGCTAACCACCTCAGCTGGCTCTACTCTGAGTCCTTCCTGTATAACCTTTCAGATAGACCATGAACCAAAAGACAGCCTAACATTCGGAAATAGTTTCTTTATATCGATGAAGAAGGGGAGGGGGGTAATAAATTAGTATATTCCTTTTGTCTGTGTTGGCAGTGGAGGGATCTCTACACCCATGTAACCCTTCATTCTTAGATAAATCAGTCAGCATTAGTAATAAATTTCATCTTTGTGCCTCTGACTAAAGGTATACAAGGAAGCATGCCGATGTGGGTTTTTTTTAAACATGTATGCGCTTATATAAAAATAACTTCAATCGAAACCCCTAGAACAACCCTGTGGCGCGTTTATGAGTTTGGTTATTTTTTTTAACAAATATCTTAGAAAGTAACTACTAGTGCATGAGCATCGCTCAGTGATGCTGTTGGACCACCCCAAACACCTCATTGGTAGCCATGATGAACACACCCAACCGTGGTCACATTTTTCTAAACGTATATCAGTGCCTTAATAGTTACGCTACAAAAACCTCCACGGAAGAGGAGAGTGAAATAGTGCTCTGACAGACCCGGCGGGGGTGACAGTAGCCCAGACTGCTGTGCGTTGATGCTCTCCCCTTGCTTCATGTGGCCTTTGAACTCATTGTTGTGTCGCGGGTGACGTCAGTGCCGTGTGCGGGAGACGGAGCGGCGTGCGCCTGGCGAGACAAAGGCGGCGGACCGACCGGGGTCAGGCAGGCAAGAGCAGCAGCAGAAAGCCGAGAATCACTGTTTTTTTTTTTTTTTTAAACTAAAAGATAACCGCTAACCTTGGACTTCAGTTGAGCTCTCCCTGACGCTGGGAGAAATGAAGAGGCAGTGACACTCCTGTGGAAATCTCCTGGATGAGGAAAAACAACAGTGCCCTCTTTTCGGTTTTAAACGTTTTTTTCTTCTTCTCCTCAAACGCCCCCCTTTCGGTTTGCTAGTTAGCCGAACCGCTAGCTCCTAGCGCTGCACAGCACAGGTCTCCTCCTTCAGTCTGCTCCACGTCTTTCCCTAAAGAACTGGGCTACGAGTGAAGAGAGGACTTCATCGACAAAACGTAGATAAGGTAAGTTCTCGTGGTTTCCGCACGTATTTAATTTTAAAAAATAACACGGCAGTCTGTGAATGTGAACACAAGTTCGACTGTCAGAACAGAGCTAAAGCAGCTAACCGCGGCGCTCTCAAACAAAGAGGTCGACAACGTGACTGAGTGCCGACTGTGTGGAGCTAGCCTGCTAGCTTTTGATTCTTGGAGCTAACAACAGCTCATTTATCTGTTTATTGTTTTTAAATTTAAGTTTAAATTCGGTCAGCACACACCGGACCGGCTGGAGTCGGCACCGAAAAGGCTCGGGAATATACTGTATGTGGTTGTGAGGACGGGCAAAACAGTCAACCTCCTGGATGAGCTCAGTTGTCAGACAAACAGCAACAACAGACAAAGCAAAGGCGCTCAAATCAATACTGTTAATGCGCGTTGTTATTGTTGGGTGATCTGAGGCTCCACGGTGCTCTGTTACACTCGTATTTTGTGTGTTTTGATAGAAGACATGGAAAAACCTTTTATTTTTATTGTTGTTTTCTTTGAATTTCAGTAGAGGGTGAGCGGACTCCCAACAAAACAGGCATCCGTGATCTGATGTGAGATCCACGGAGAGACTATGCCTAGCCCTTTATTTCACCCCGAGATTATGGACCACGACGTGGTGATCAGCAGCCAACACAACGGGGTCGGTCTGTCCAGGGAGACGGATCAGGAGTCCCGGGAGGAGGACCACCAAGAGGCGCTCCGCTTCGCCCTGGACCAGCTGTCACTGATGGCCATGGAGAAGGTGGACTGTGGGGGCGGCGGAAGCAGCGGGCTTGTGGACAGCCTGGATGGGACCCAGGGTCCGGGACCCGAGAATTGCAACGGTGTGAGTGGAGGGGGGTTCGTGGATCTACAAATGCTGGACCATCCCAGCGGGTCTCGGGACTCTCCGACGTCCTGCTCTCCATCCCCGGAGTACTATGGCTCAGGGGGGTACCACATGGCCGGCTCCCATGCCATGCTCCACGGGGAACCAAACTCCGTCCTCTGCAGCAGGAAAAGAAGTGTCAACATGACCGAGTGTGTTCCCGTCCCCAGCTCCGAGCATGTGGCTGAGATAGTGGGCAGACAAGGTAAGGCTGTGCCGTTGAGCAGCTTGTTCTTTGTTTGGGTGACTGCCTGGTGAGCTGGGTCTGTGAACTTCAGCTGTCTGAGCTTGATGTTGTGGTCGGGCTGTACTTCCCTCTCCTGCTCTTCAGTGGCAGCATAATGCGGATACTCCACTGAAATGAAATGCCGCTGTAGTATTTGTGATTTTTGTTTGTTTTGTTTTTTTTAAATCAGCAATTAGACAATGCTCTGACAGAGGGTGAGGGAGTGAGCGTGGCTGAGTGGGAAGGGAGGGGGAGGGGAGGGAGAGGGTCAGACAAAGCGGCAGATTGTCGGGAGTCTGGACATGTCTAGCAGCCTGCACCAAACAAAGGAAATATCGCGAAATGTGTAGATTTTCTTCGTACCGCAGATCACAGGCGGCACTGAACTCACACCTTCACCTCATACATGCGTTTGTTATATTTGCTCCTCAGAGCAGATGTGAGGCTGAAACGGGGCAGCAGCAGACGCACAAACACGGGACTGGGCGGTGTTACGCCCTGCACCCAGCTCAGTCTGCCGCTGCTGCTGCTGCTTGCCGCTACGTTTATACTCGAGATGATTTCTTTAATTATGATTTCTATTCGGATGTGTCCTACACTTTAAATTTAGTCAAGCCGTGGGTTTGTTTTTCCCGTTGCGCTCGCGCTAACGTTACAGCATTGTTCTCTTTGTTTGAAAAAGCCATGCTTTCTGCTTCCCAGAATGACATCACGCTCCGTGCGTCCTATTGGCCGCCGAGAATGAAGCGTCCGCATTTAAAGACACAGAGCGCAGTGTGGATGCTGCTGCTGGGAGGAGGCATGCAGTGCAGCACTGATTTAATGTGGAGAGCTTCATGAAGACCTGCTGGCTTTACTGCCTGTTTCATAAAATGATCAGCACTACCTCAGTTTGAGCTGATGATAAAGGAATGGCTGATTATTTTTCATTTATGCTGTAGTTGTCGGTAAATTAGGTACACTTTGTGTAGTTTGGTGGCTCTCTGACTGTGGAGCATACACCACTGTTGTGGGGTGTGGATTATGTCAGGAAAATGCTTCTCATTTTTACTGAAGCGTGTTTTTTGGCTTCTGATGCCAGAGTAAGTCTGAATTTATACTAATATAATCATGTTGTAGAAATGCTACTTTCAGCTCCTTCCTTTTTCACAAAGGGTCACCACAGCGGGCAGATATGCATATTTGATGTGGTAGACCTTTACACAGTTTACCCTTCCTGACACAACTTCAAAAGGATTTGTGTCTCCTCCTGGGACCGAACAGAGGAAATTACTTTATTTATCCTTGCGACAGACTGGCAATCTGTCCAGGTTGTATCCTGCCTCTCACCCTGTGGTAGCTGGGACAAGCTCCAGTCCCTCCATGACCCAATAAGGATAAGCGGAAAAGAATGGATAGATGGATATTTTATGGCAAATGTGTAAATTACTGCACCAAAGTGCCAGGCGTATGTTACAAAAATATTTTTGATGTCAGGCTTTGAAATTTAGGCTGAAATTTGTGCTCTGCCTAATATAGCCCATTCATATTAGTGAGAGCAACTGAATTTTAGAAACTTTACAAAGTGAAGCATTCATAATTGTCAGCAAAATCAGATCAACTAATAAAACAAACAAAAAAAAAAACATTGCAGTTGATTGTGTGCTTCTGAATCTTCCAGGTTGTAAGATCAAGGCCCTGCGTGCCAAAACAAACACCTACATAAAGACTCCGGTGCGAGGCGAGGACCCTGTGTTCATCGTGACGGGACGCAGGGAGGATGTGGAGATGGCCAAGCGTGAAATTGTGTCTGCAGCAGAGCACTTCTCTATGATCAGGGCGTCCCGCTGCAAAGCTGGAGGGGGTGGAGGAGGCGGCTCCCTTCCTGGACCACCAAACCTACCTGGACAGACCACTATACAGGTGCAGTAGCCCTGCTGTGGTGCTGGGTCATGTTTTTGCTTTTTGTCTTGTTTTGCTTGAAAATCAGCTAAAATATCCTTTTATTTTATCCCTGATCCAGGTTAGAGTGCCGTACAGAGTAGTCGGTTTAGTTGTTGGACCAAAAGGGGCAACAATCAAGCGCATCCAGCAGCAGACTCACACCTACATCGTGACACCGAGTCGAGAAAAAGACCCCGTGTTCGAGGTGACTGGGATGCCAGAGAACGTGGACAGAGCGAGAGAGGAGATCGAGACTCACATCACCCTGAGAACTGGAACCTTTGTAGACCTCCAGGGAGACAATGACTTCCACACTAATGGCACTGATGTCAGTCTTGAAGGCCTTGGTTCCCTGAGTGGGGGACTGGGAGCGACTTTGTGGTCCAGGGCAACTAGCCACCATTCTGCCCCCCCTCCTCCTCCAACATCCCCACCTTCTGCTCTTTCCATGTCCGTACACCACTCGTCCGGCAGGAAGATGTCCTCATCGGTTCCCTATCACACGCACAATGGCGGGATGAGCGCAGACAGCTTCAGCACCGCCCGGAAGGCCACTGAGGGAGGCAGTCCCACTAGCCCTTTTAGCACAGGCTCCAGCAGCGCTGGGGGATTCACTTTTGGGGGCGATTCCACCCCAGGACTGCCTTCGTCAGACGAGCTGGGCTTCGAGTTCAGTGCTTCCAACATCTGGGCGCCTTTCGTCAACAGCGGATCGGGCAATAAGACGGGCAGCTCCTCTCAGCAGCAGCCTCTGCGTCGCAATAGCAGCGGCGTCAGCGCCGGCGCCATCACTCCACGATTGTCCCCGACTCTGCCTCAGGACACAGGCGTGGTCCCCCCTCTGGATCACCCACTTGCCCGGCGTGCTCAAAGCGACCCCCTCAGCACTCTCTCCTGGCTGCAGTCTGGCAACGCAGGCGGCGGCTCCTTCTCCGGAGCATCGAGCTCCAGCTCCGGCGGCTCATCGACCGGTTACTCCTCCTGCTCGGCCTCCTCCCTCCCCGGTGGGTCGCCTACCGACTCAGAGGGAGGCGGCAGCGGCGTGGGTCTCACCTCTGGGATTTTGAGCCGACTGAAAGGCAGCTCTGGCTCTGGGGTTGCGGCTCTGGTGGGGGTCAGCCCCGGGGTCAACAGGGACTGCTTCGTGTGTTTCGAGAGCGAGGTGACGGCAGCCCTGGTGCCCTGCGGCCACAACTTGTTCTGCATGGAGTGCGCTGGGCAGATCTGCCAATCAACAGAGCCAGAATGCCCCGTCTGTCACACTCCTACCACACAGTGCATCCGCATCTTCTCGTAATGTCCCGGGCAAAGGGAGGGGTGGTGGGGTGGGGTAAAATGTGGGATGGGAGGGGAACGGTCCCAAGTGGGGCACCAGCTGCGGCAGAGACAATGGAAGGAGTCACAATAATAACCTTCACACACATGATGGACCATAATAAATGCATTAATAGAGATGACGATACTATAAGGATGCTGATTTATTGCTGGTAACTGTCGATAAATGATGATGATAATAATTAATAGTGACTTATTTTCAGAGTGAAGTTAATTGAAACTGGTCTGTAGACAGTTGGAGCTCAGCCAGTCTCTTGGTGTTGAACTTAACGGAAGGAAACTAGTGTCTTATCTCTCTTCAGGCCTTCTTTTTGACCCAGAGCGGCCCTTGCGGCTGCCTGCTGGTCTGTCTCAACATTTCTTCATTCTGGCTTCTTCAGATCTCTGCCTGCTCTCTCTCTCTCGCTCTCTCTCTGTCTCACAGCCTTTCTTTTTGACACTTTTATACTTAACAGATATTTTTCAATGAAGCTGTCGACGAGGCCTGCACTTTTCTACTCCCTAATTTTACTGTTCTCAACAGGGCACCGCCCGTTTCCAACAAATCCCTTTGTCCTTTGCTCTCACTCATGCTGTTGTTTGTGGCACGAAGTGGCAAGGTTCCTCTTTTTTTCTGTAAGTTTGGGACTTTTCTCTCTGTTTTTATTTTAAAGATCGCCGTGTTGTCAGGCACCTAGAAGAACAATAAACCCAAGGGACCTCTTAAGGATCAATTCCAGTTTCTCTTTGCCACAAAAGAATAGCCATCAGTAAGTAAGCCAAATGAATGTTATTAATAGACATCTCTTGAGTGAATTCATGTTGGATGAGTCTGCCCCACATTTCAAATGTGGCTGTCGCATTGATTCACATTAATTTTCCTTTAATAGATGAGAAACGTACCATACGTGAAGTAATGTGTTTGAGGTCAGGTCTCTGTGTTTGGGCAGCCTGACAATCCCTTTACACCCCTCTGTCTCTGCGATATGCGAGTATGAGTGTGTGTGCGAGAGAACAACGCCCACTCATGCTGTTCGTCGCACCGCCGAGAGTAGGTCTGCTCCCTGTCCCGTTCTTCTTTGCTGCACACTCGGTCTTGAAGGAAAGCGACGCTCTGATCCATCCACACTACTGTAGTTGTCCTCCCACGTCTGTTACGCCCAGAGCCGCCTGTTTCTGGTGTTTTCTACTAGTTTTTGACTCTTGACTGTCAAGTGTGTGGCTGACAGACAATATTTTGAACACTAGGATAAGATGGGGCTTTTCTGATGTCACACAAGAATGTGTTGTCCAGTTAAGGTTAAGGAGAGAGGCCTCCTGCTGCTCCTCCTACACTAAACAATTACAAGGGGCCTCCATTGAACCTTTTCTTCATGCACTGTAAGGCCCGGCCCCTCTAAACTAAAAGCGAAAAAGAAACAGCTCTTACTGTTTTTGTTAGGTCTTCCACCTGTCTCTCACAGCGAAGCTGTACGGCACTCTCTGACGTCACTGTTGTCCCCATACAGCGCTGTACTCCTGGCAAAATGTAGTGCACTATGTGGCTGGTTGATTGGGGTCTGTCATGTGTTTCATAGCATTACTGAGTAACTCCAGTGAGGCAGGTACATCCTGTTTTTAAGTTGGGTTTTTTTTCTGTTAGTGTTTTGATTTCATTGAGTTTGCAGTAACTGCCTCCTGTAGTCTTTATACTATGTGTATGATTTTTTTTTTTTTTTCCAACGTCTGTGTGACGTTACACGGTTGCAGGTTTTTTGTTTTGTTTTTCCCTCTCTCTTCTCCCTGACACACGTGGATTCAGCTCATAGAACGAGACAAAGCCATGACAGCTGAATTTTAAAGAAAAGAAAAGAAGAAGAAAAAAAAAGAAAAAAACGTACCTAATTTACAAGGGCTTCCTCTGAACGCACAGACACACGATCACATTTTCAGGCTCACACGGTAGGAAGAATCAACTTATCCTTTATGGCAGCTAGTAGCTAGGTCATCCAGGGCTTCCAGACACTCGTCGTGTTCAAATCCCAGCAGCTGCAGAATGTTGTGCTTCTTTTTAGTTATTCTGTTTGTTGCTTTTTTTCTTTCTTTCTTTCTTTTTTTGGGAGGGGGGGTCTTTTGTGTGTCGGGGTGTGTGTGTGTGTGTGTGTGTAATTGCCCTACACAGTCATCACATGCAGATCCTGTTGGTGTGCATGGCGCTGCATCAGGGTGTCTCACAGATCAGGACGAGTTGCAGGGTTTAAATGTCAAGGAATTAAAGGTAACTCTTGAGTAAATATGTGGGCTGATTTTGCTGTGCTTTGGTGCTGTAGCCTGGATGATGATGATGTTTAACTTATTTTTGTCTGTTTCCTACGTGCGTGACGAGGCTGTCCTGGTTGAGCAGCAGCAGCGCACCAATTGGTGCGCAGATGAGCTCGTGGTGCTTCTAGTGCAACTCCCTGCACAAACGCAGGAGAAATAAGTGGGTAAAGGGAGGCCGTTTTGTTCTCAGATCAACTTCTCCAATGCACTGTAGACCCAATGACCCTGTTCTCATTCTCGCCCTCACCCCTCCCCCTCTAACTGCCCACCCGGCCCCGTGGGGCTGGAGCGTGTTCCTCAGAGCAAACACGGGGCTGCGAGCGCGTCTAAATGAGCCATTCTGTGATGACTGATGCGAGTCTGAGGCCCAACTTAAAGCTCTTACTTTCAACTGTCTGAGGTGACGCGTTAAACAATAAAATGTGTTGTGATTTCCAGATGGGTTCAGCGTAGATCCTGCTGTTGCACCAGGATGTTTGTGGCCGTCGAGAGAATGTTAGGGTTGATGTACAGTAGTTTAATTGTTAAAAGGTACTTTTTTTTTTTTTTTTTTTTTTTTTTTTCTTTTTTTTCTTTTTTTTTAAACAAGACGTCTCCCCCTTCCCCCACTTCCTAAAGGTTTGAAAACAGGGTTTCCTGAGGCATGCTAGCCAGTGACCTCTGACCTTTTTTGTGATTAGAGGTGGGGGGAATGCAAAGAGAGCCACGCCAGTACGGGGTGCCAGACTCCCCTCGAACCTCTGCTCTCCTCTATTTTTGCTTTAATTCTTTTTGTATGCAGAACCAAAATGTAAAACGTCAGCAAACTAGGTTTCAGGCCTAACCTGTGTGTATGTATATACCCTGGATACAATCATCGGGATCTTGTTTTTCAAAGCAAAACAACTTAATTGAAGATGAACGTAGTTTCTAAAAAAAACATGTGTTATTATTTGTAAGTTAACCATCTGCATGTCTTCGAGCCTTCTGGCATTAGCTAATAATTTTTAAGATATAAAAAAAAAACAAAAATACAAAAAAACAAAAAACTTTTTACACATTTTATTTTTTACAATTTATTTGCTTACCTAAATATCCCAGACAATAATGTGACCCTTTTATTACTTCAAATTTATTTTTGTTTTCCATTTTTTCTTTTTTTTTTTAATTTTCCTTATTTCCTGTGTACTACATATAGGCGATTTATAACAAAATGAGAAAATTATTGAAGAAATTTTAAAATTGAAATATATTTTATTTGAAAGTTTATGGACCTTTTAACCGTGAGCCGGGAAAAATTGTATAATCGTATAATTTGAGCTGACTTGACGGTTATGAGAAATGTATCAAGAGTTTTATTTTTTATGCTTCTTTAATAAAGTCTTGTTTTGTTTTTGTTTTATTTTTGTTTCATTTTTTTACTGGAAAATAAGAACTTGTCTGTGTGCTGTGTCTTTATTGTCAGTGGAAATGTGCACAAGATTGCAGCAGCCGCATCTTCCGACCACATAGTGGCAGTAGAGATGCACCTGCAGAGGAGTAAACCATAATGACGTGAAAAGTGTAGCTCGGGAGTGTTTGCTTGTAAATGTGACAACAAGACGAAGTTATTCATTTAGGAACCGGTTTTTCCAGCATGTGCTGTGAACTTAAAGATTGTGTGTCAACAGTATGAGTCCAAACTGCTCAACTTTAAATACAGTCCCACTGTTTTCACTCAAACGTCACTCTTAAGTTGCAGCATTTAATGTACTTTAGGCTCAGTCTGAGCGTTAAGAGATATCAAGGACTTATACAGCTGTTGGGAGGAGTGAGTAGGATAAGAGGAGGCAGTTTGCTTTTTTTGCTGCTTCAGTTTTATGTCAAAATGTACAACTCTGAGAAAAACGTGATTCGGTGGAAGCTAGACGTCTCAAGAAGAAGTTGGGAACTAAAAAGCGACAGCTGAAGAAACATTTAATGAACATTTAATTACAGCAGGGCGGTAATATGGCTGAGTATAAAAACGGCGGCAGAGTTTTAAAGATGTGGAATAATTTTAAAGTAATGTTCTTGAAAGTAGAATTGTGAATACTTCTGTCATCATCTGCAGTACAAAAGATTCAGAGAATCTCTGTGCGCTCGCCTGAAAATTGATACTGGATGTCCGTGATCTTCCGGTCCTGACGTGTCACTGCGTGATTCCGTCATGGACGTCAATGCACCTTGGGGGGGCGAGGGGGTGAGTACAGGAACACTTCCATCCACCAGAAACGCTGCTGTTTTCTCTGAGCCAAAAATAACCAGAGAAAAAATGAGAAACTGCTATGTGGTCAGATCATTCAAAGTTCCTGCAGGATAAAGAGGAGAGAGACCATCCACTTGGTTTACAAGTCTGCATCTATGATGGTAATAAGGTGCATCGGTGCCTGTGGAGTTGCACATTTGGGAAGGCTGAACGGTGTATAGGTAATAGAAGAGCATATGCTTCGTCCAGATGATGTCTTTCCGGCTCTTGAATCTTTCACTGAGACGATGCTAACATGCGTGCTTCACAGCAGAAGCGTTCACATGATAAACTGACCCGCACCAGCCCAGACTGTTCACCAACATTTGGCACATGAAATGAAAAATAAGACAAAGAAGACTCGGGACTTGTTTTTTAATGCTCCTCTCACCCGAATTCCAAAGCTCATCAAAACCATTTTTACTTCTGTCAGTCACAACTGAAGAGTGATGATCACTCACTTTCCTGAATACTGTCCAGCACTGCATCAGTGTTTTCAATCAAATTACCTTTTTCAAATATGTATGAAGGAGCAAATAGAAAAATACACTGTCAGAGATTTACTTGCAAAAAACAGAAGTACATACTTTCCGTCTTGTGTCACAACTGCTCATCCAAGGATGCCCTGCTGCTCTGAGATTTGGTGAATGTGGAGGACATCTGTGTGCAGTCTGTGCAAAATGTAGCTGCAGTTACTTGTTTTTAGCTTACAGGAGTGGCCACCACTGTGGCCTTTTGCTGCCATAATCTGCTTTCAGAAATGCTCTTCTGCATACCTTGGTTATTTGAGTCACTGCTGCCGTCATATCAGCTCAGAGTAGTCTGACCATTCTCCTCTGACATCATCAAGGTATTTTCACCCAGAGAACCAGAGAATTTTGTCATTTCAGACCATTCCCTGTAAACCCTGGAGATGGCTGTGTGGGAAAATCCCAGGAGATCAGCAGTTTGTGAAATACTCAGACCAACAACCATGCAGCTTTCACTCACCTTTCTTCCTGATGCTCAGTTTGAACTTCAGCGTGCACATCTGCATGCCTCAATGCTTTGAATTACTGACCTGTGACTGTTTGAGTGGATAGTTGCACTAAAGAGCAGTTGAACAGGCGTACATAATAGAGTGGCCTCTGAATGTATGTAGGCTGACATGTAATATAAATGCTGTTTCAGGACCAAAAAGCGTGCACTTCACCGAAAGGGAAACCCATGCATTTAAATCTGAAGCCTGAACATGCGCAGACTCTTCAAATGGTTTTGTTTTGAACTGATCACATAAGTGTTTATTTGATGCTTTGCAAGACACAGGCTGATAACAGCTGTGCGGGGTTGTTGTGGTGGAGGTAAACAGAAGAGAGGGCACGGTTTTGAGTGCCGGCTTTCATTTTTCAGAAGATGTTTGTTTTTAAAGGTGCGGTTTTAATTCCCTTCAGTTTGTGTTTAGATTTCTGAGACGCTGTTTCTGGAAATCTGTTTAAACATTTGGCAAAATTGTAACAGGAAGTGTTGAGGCTGTTTAACAAAAAGGCAGCCTTGGACATTAAATATCTGAATTATAGACTCAGAAAACCAATAACAGCAGTATGGCATCAAGTCACATGAACACTTTTATATTTAACAGAAGGTTAAATTGCAAATATCCTAATGTAAACCTTCCAGATTCTCAGATATGGAAACTTGTCTCACACTGGGGTCAATGGACTGTTAAAGCACACATTTTATAGAGCAAATATCTTATTATTTGATATCATCCTTGTTAAATATAACATAAATGAAAATACTCATCTGTTACAACCCTTGTTAACTTTGGGATAAAACACCACAGTTATTTCTTCCTGACCACTTATCTGGTTTAGGGCTGACAGATGATCAGTGGAAACAGGAAGCACCTTATGTTTTTGTTTTGATTTTTAATAAATTTGCAATTATTTCAAGCTAGCGTTTTGTTTTTGTTTTGTTTTTAAATTTGTCATTGTGGAGTATTATGTGCCGAATTTTGAGGTGAAAATAAACCTAATCCATACTGGAATAAAGCTGCAATGCAACGAAATGTGGAACAAATGAAGTGCTGTGAATACCTCTCTGCTGAATCACACTTGTTATTAATCTCTGTCTCTCTTCCACAGCATGTCTTTATCCTGTCTTCCTTCTCTCACCCCAACCGGTCGCAGCAGATGGCCCCGCCCCTCCCTGAGCCTGGTTCTGCCGGAGGTTTCTTCCTGGGAGAAAAGGGAGTTTTTCCTTCCCACTGTTGCTGAAGTGTTTGCTCATAGGGGGTCATATGATTGTTGGGTTTTTTCCTCTATATGCATTA